AACTGGGGGGGCGTTTCCTCGCTCATCCATGGATAGTATCCACTGGGTAAGAGTTATTTCTTCAGTAACAGACAGTTTTCGATTCCTTTCCTGCGCATGCTCTCGCGTCGTACGGCCTTTCAATCGATCGTGTAATGTGGAATGGGGAACATCATATAACACAGAAGCTTTTCGCAGACTTGAGACTTGGCCCTTCTTATATGCTTGAAGAGCCAAAAGAATCTTTCCTTCCTGATTGGAAGCTTGTGGGAGTCTTGAGGTAGGCATTTTTGTTGATGGGAGTGGAGGCGCGTAAGCGTGGTGAGAAGTGTCCGACTAGGTCATTTGTCCGACTAGGTTATAGATTACGTTATAACTTAGTTAATCAATTACGGAGTACAATTACGAGTTGATCTTCGTTTTTATTACAAAAAGAAGAAGAAAGAAGGAAGAAAGGAAGGAAATAGTGTAGATTTTAAGTGAGTGATTATATATAAATGGACTTCTAAATTAGTATCACCACGGGGGCACTTTCATTCCCCCCTAACAAAGTCTTGTCAACATGATTTTATATATATTTGAACTCGAGCTTCATATCTGAGAAGTAGCGACGAAGGTAAATTACAAAACTCACGCATTTCAAGAGAGCGAAACTGGTGATCGAGGCGAAAATCATTTAACATGGGATTAGGAGGTTAAAAAAAAAGAACTATACTTATTACTCAGCCTACAAAATGATCTAATAACAACAAAGCGGTGAGACAAGCTCAGCAACGAGATCAGGATGAGACTATGTGTATTGGTTGTAGCTAGACTTGCTTTTAGTCACATAGATCTAGCTCAACAGTGAATTTGTGTCTGAGTTTGCAGTGTCTGAGGGATGAGCGTCGATGAGGTGGCATCGAATCGTTTTGATACAAGTCGATGGCGGGTAGCTTTCCTTCCAGCATCGCTGGGGTGATTCTCATAAGCATTCAAAGAACGCGGTACCGGTTTCCCATCTCCTTGAATTCTTTCAACCACCGTCTCGCAACCATCCTTGGCTATCGATTATCGAGGTGGGTGGACGAGCCTCAGCGAGTAATCCATCCAGTGCTCACAGCCTTTTCCTGGAGGAACCAGAAAGGTGGTTCTGAGTGTGATGGGTGATGCTTCATGCTTCACCCTCAAACTGATTCTCAGAATCCTTCGGCAATGTTCTTGCCTTGACAAGGACGCTTTTAAAGGCCAACGCAATTGACGAGGGTAGTGTGCATGATATTCGCCTGCGAACAGGCTGCATCACTTATTGTCCTTGAATGCAGGCTGCTGCTCCATTGTCTGTGATATAAAACTCCTCAAAGCAGCCCATCGGCTCGAAGTGGGAGGAGGTTCAGCTTGTGATTCAGAACTCGCTGCCGCCTGACTTGTGTTGTTTGCCTCAATATGTGTCATCTGTGCGAGGTTCTTCATAAACCGGTCCCGCTCCATCTGTTCCAGCTTCTCCTTCCGTTTCATCGCACCGGGGCGACTTTTCATAGTTTTGTGCTTGATAATATTGACCTGATTACTAGTGTCATTCCGATCACCCTCCTCTGCAGCGGGAAGAGCCTCCGCCAACGAGTCCAGATTGGTCACCAGCTTTTTGGAGGGCCTCCGCCGTTTTGGTTTCTTCTCATAGGCCTTTTGAATCTTGGACATAAAAGCCGAGTGCTTGATCAGGCGTTTGTCTTTCTTGGTCGTTCGGAATTCATCTTGGAACAGGCTGGCCTTGGACGAGGCGATTTCGCCTCGCCCGCTGGCTGCTTTTCGCGCAGACGACGTCGAGCCCTTTTGCGGACGAATCGGTGCCTGCCATGTCAGTACGTGAACAGCGGGGAGGAACAAGAGCAGCTCACTTACCATGCTGGGAGCTGTGATGTTTTGCGCTGCTGGAGGTCGCGGCTGCTCATAAAATTTGGCTCGGGCCAGCCCTAAACCCTAGCTCGGTCTCGGAACGGTCTAGGGCCCTTCCGGCCGGGGCGGGGTCGACCACAACAAACCGCTCCGACTGGCCGGGGGCGACGGGCGCACCGCCTGTGACGTCGGGCCGCCAACGCAGTATTGGTCGGAGCGCTTTTCCTGAGCGTGACCAGTTGCAGTCTGCCTGACATCAGACCGACCACAGCTACTCGGCCAACGCATTGTTTCTTGAAATCACGGTGATCTAACGTTCGCCAGGGAAAGCGCTCTCTGACTTATATGACTTCTCTTTTATCTGCACCTTGGTTGCCCATTAGACGGAGTTTTGTTCCTAATCCCTCCCAACTGAGATCGCTGCCCCAACGGTTCCTGGCCACCGCCGCGTGCCACCCAGCACTTTTCTCCCAGCTGCCTGGCACCTTTAAAGCCTTCTCTCTTGCTGCGGCACCGGTGGTTGACCACAGGAGCTCCTGCAAATCCTCTGCACTGCCTGTTATCACTCGAGCCAACATGGCGACGCTTTCTGCTCATCCGCGGAAGCACAAGGTGACAGTGATTGGATCTGGAAACTGGTAAGCATAGCGAGCGCTCTCTGTCGCAAGGAGCTGAATTGTTGACCTCGATCAGGGGAACGGCTATTTCCAAGATTCTCGCCGAAAATGTCGCGGAGAACAACCATCTCTTCGAAAACACAGTGGAGATGTGGGTGTTTGAAGAGAAGGTGGAGATCCCCAAGGACTCCAAGCATTACGACCCGTCGTCGCCTCTCTGCCAGGGTCCTCAAAACTTGACCGAAGTGATCAACAAATTCAACGAGAATATCAAGTATCTTCCGGGGATTGCTCTGCCTAAGAATCTGCACGCCAATCCGTCGCTGGAGGACGCGGTGAAGGACACGACGATTCTCGTCTTTAATGTCCCACACCAGTTCATTATTCGCATCTGTGACCAGCTCCAAGGGAAAGTTCTGCCCTATGCTCGAGGCATATCTTGCATCAAGGGTGTGGACGTCAACGAGGAGGGGGTCAGCCTGTTCTCCGAGACCATTGGCAAGAAACTGGGCATCTATTGCGGTGCACTCTCGGGCGCCAACATCGCTACAGAGGTTGCCAAGGAGCTGTTTTCCGAAACCACGATCGGTTACGATCCTCCTCATCTTGATTCCAAGGCTCCATCACCGACGCAGGGCTCGCCTTCCCAGTCGCCGGTCGACATTATTTCCTTTGAACACAAGGATACATCCGGACAGTTCTCTCAAGTGAAACTACGGCCCCTCCCTCCCGAGTATCCTCCTATTGATCATTGCCTTCTGAAGACACTCTTCCATCGCCCCTACTTCCATGTTAGAGTGGTCCACGATGTCGCAGGTGTCGCTCTCGGTGGTGCCTTGAAGAACATTGTCGCTCTGGCAGCTGGCTTTGTGGACGGTCTCGGTTGGGGTGACAACGCCAAGGCTGCTATCATGAGAGTCGGGCTCCTCGAGATGGTGAAATTCGGTAATCAATTCTTTGGCGCGTCCATCAATCCGAAGACCTTCACCGAAGAGAGCGCCGGTGTTGCGGACATGATCACCAGCTGCAGCGGAGGACGAAACTTCCGATGCGCCAAGCTCAGCGTTGAGCGCAACACTCCGATCGAGGAGATCGAAAAGCAGGAACTCAATGGCCAGAAGCTGCAGGGAACTCTGACAGCGTACGAGGTCAACAAGTTCCTGAAAAAGCAAGGCGTGGAGGATGAGTATCCCCTGTTTACTTCCGTCCAGCGTAAGTGCTGAATTTACTGTCGCATAGATTGCATATGCTGATATCGTACACAGGCATCCTAGAAGGGAAAATGAAAGTCGAAGAACTGCCAAGTCGCATTGCATAGACCAGAGATTTGGAGAGCGGTTGCAGGCGATAAATTTCATTTCCTGATTGACCTTGTCCGTCCGTGTTCGCCACACGTAATATTTAGAAAGAGAGGCTCCGGTAGGAGGTGGGTAGAGGAGTTTGGGCTAGTTAGACGTTGATACAAGCCTGGAACAATTGGTGAGAGGGGCATAGTATCTCCTTGCCAGGTAGCTGGGAGACGTGGTAAATACGGTTCTGCGTATATAAATAATAGATCTCTTTCTTATAAACACAAGATACGATATGCAGACAATTGATGAGGCTCAGAGAGGATTGATTTGTTAATATTAGGACACCACGCTGTCCAGGCTTGGAGCTTGGTGGACAACGTCTAGGCATGTCACACGCGCGGCACAGCTCCAGAAACCATTCCATTGGCTGGGTCTCGACTGCTCCCCAAAGCTACCAAATGCCTCACCGACGCTTTCCTGTTTTTCTCCAGGCTTTCTTGAGAAGCTGATGCGGGGAAGTCTCATATAATTTGTTTTGGACACAGATCCAAGGCAGACGTCTTACCTACCAGTTCTTCCAATGCGCCACCAGAACCATCTTTCCCCGCAATTGTATATACAGAAAGTACAGAGTACAGTGGCTCAAAGCAGCCGCTCGTTACAATGAGTGATTCTCGTCGTATTTATCTCCTTCCTCTGAACGACGACGGCTCTCCTGACATTCCGGGAGGCTACATCTACCTCCCACCTCCAACTGATCCAGCCTACGTGCTCCGCTTCGCCATCGAGGGCACGAGCTCAATATGTAGGGAAGGCATCTTGTGGGTGAATATCCCTGAGGCAGGAAAAGACTTTGATCGTTCCAAGTTTCGTCAATTCAAGTGAGCTTATTTGTCTAGTTCTGCTGTTTTTTTTTTCTAAACGCGAAAACCCATTGACTTTGTAGATTGCGGCCTGATTTCAACAAAGACATACACATCGATGTGCCCATCACCCAACCTGGTGCCTTTGCTTTCTACACCACCTATTCGCCACTCCCGGAGTTTTCTGTTTCTTCTTCCCCAACCTGCGAACAGGCGAGGACACCGCTGCATTATGTTGATGTTGCACCCTCATTGTCCCTTGGCGGCAAGAGTCTGCCTCTCGATGCGCTTTCAATTTTCTCTATCATCTCCAAGTTTATGGGAAAGTATCCCACCGACTGGGATAAGCATTTGCGAGGGATCTCTGAGAGGAACTATAACATGGTCCATTTTACACCATTGATGAAACGGGGTGTCTCGAACTCACCTTACAGTATCTACAACCAACTAGAGTTCGATCCAGAGTTTTTCCCTAACGGGGAGCAAGATATCGCAGACATGGTCTCCAGGATGGAAAAGGAGTTCGGATTGCTAGCTCTTACCGATGTTGTCTGGAATCATACTGCAAGCAATAGCAAGTGGCTGGAAGAGCATCCAGAGGCAGGGTACAGTGTTGAAACAGCACCTTGGCTGGAGGCGGCTTTGGAGCTTGATACTGCCTTGCTGAAATATGGCGAAAACCTTCAAAGTCTAGCATTGCCCACGGAGTTCCACACAGTAGACGATCTACTCCAAGTCATAGGCGGGATGAGAAAGCACGTCATCGACACGATACGACTGTGGGAATTTTACGTTGTGGATGTGAAAAGCGATACAAGAAGGATCGTTGATGAGTGGATAAGTCGTGATTCGAAGCCGCCTCATGATCACAACAATATTCCAGACGTTGAGGCCATCAAGACAGGCACATTGAAGCAGAAAGCGGATTTCATCCGTCGAAACGCCCTGTTAAACTCGACACGCATTTTGGGAAGATTCAGTCGAAAGGTCGATGAGAAGGTGGCTGCACCCTTGCTGACAGTCCTTTTTGGAAATTATGACAAGACCTCTTCGGATGTTCCTTCAGTGGAAGCGGAAGTATCTCGAATCCTCGATGAGGTCAATCTTCCCCTCTACCAGGAATACGATGCGGATGTGGATGAGATACTAGAACAAGTTTTCAATCTCATCAAATACGTCAGGATTGATGATCATGGTCCGAAACTGGGACCTGTGACCAAAGAGAACCCGTTGATTGAGAGCTATTTTACAAGACTGCCACTCAATGACACCACAAAGAAACATAACCCTCGAGCGCTCGCTCTGGTGAACAATGGCTGGATCTGGAACGCCGATGCAATGCGGGACAATGCGGGCCCCGAATCTAGGGCCTATCTTCGCCGAGAGGTCATCGTCTGGGGTGACTGCGTTAAGCTTCGCTATGGCTCATCACCCCAAGACAATCCATTCCTTTGGGACTTCATGGCTAGATATACGCGATTTATGGCAAAATACTTCTCCGGCTTCCGTATTGATAACTGCCATTCGACCCCGCTAGTGGTGGCGGAGTACCTTCTCGATGAAGCCCGCAAGGTGCGACCTAACCTGGCCGTTTTTGCGGAACTGTTCACAGGGTCTGAGGAAACCGATTATATCTTCGTCAAGCGTCTCGGCCTGAGTGCCTTGATACGAGAGGCGATGCAAGCATGGAACACAGGCGAACTGAGTCGGCTCGTTCATCGCCATGGAGGTCGTCCGATTGGAAGTTTTGATCTAGATCTTCCCGCAGGATCTTCACTGCAGTCTGTATCTGGAAAGGAGGTTGTTTCTCACATTCGTCAAACTCCTGTTCATGCGCTTTTCATGGATTGCACTCATGACAACGAGGTCCCTGCTCAGAAACGAGACGCGAGAGATACCCTCCCGAATGCAGCCCTGGTCGCTATGTGTGCGTCAGCTACAGGAAGTGTGATGGGCTATGACGAAGTCTACCCTAAGCTTATAGACCTTGTCTCAGAGACACGCTTGTACTACTCGAAATTCTCGGAGTGTGACTCTATAGAGGTCGGACCAGGTGATGGAGGTATCGGCGGTGTCAAGAAGTTGCTGAACGCCCTCCACACGAAAATGGGCGTACAAGGATACGATGAGACCCATATTCATCACGACGGAGAATTCATTACCGTCCACAGAGTGCATCCAAAAACAAGAAAAGGGATCTTTTTGATTGCGCACACTGCCTTCCCAGGTCATGAAAATGGGAAAAACATCCTGCAACCAACACATTTAATTGGTACTCAAGCCAGGGAAATTGGAAGTTGGACATTGCAGGTAGACGACGATGAAAAGTCTCGAATGCGGGCTCTAGCCGACAAAAAGTTCTTAAGGGGTCTTCCAAGCCGTGTTGTGGAAATCGATGGAACCAAAGTTGAATTTGAGGGGAACAATTCAACAATATCTGTTTCGGCAAGCTTTGTTCCTGGGTCTGTCGCTCTGTTTGAAACCTGGATTCCCGGAGCAGAACACTCGGTGGGTTTGGATAATTTCATCACCGGTGGTGCAAACGAAGCTTTTGCCAATTTGAACTTGATCGATTTGAATTTCGTGTTGTATAGATGTGAAGCGGAGGAGAGGGATGCTACCGATGGCCAGGACGGTGTTTATAACATTCCAAATTATGGACCGTTAGTCTATGCTGGTCTTCAGGGATGGTGGAGTGTGCTTGAAAACATTATCAAGTACAACGATCTCGGGCATCCGCTGTGCGACCATCTGCGTCAAGGCCAGTGGGCGCTGGACTATATCGTCGGACGAATGGAAAAGATCGCTAACAGGGATGGATACACCCAACTTCGTACACCAGCGACGTGGCTCCGTGAGCGATTTGATGCTGCCAGAAGCCTTCCGAGCTTCCTCCTACCCAGGTACTTTGCTATCATTGTCCAGACAGCCTTCACTGCTGCCTGGCGACGATGCATTCAACTGTTTGGGAAAGATATACAACACGGCCAGCAGTTCATACATCAACTAGCCATGGTCAGCGTCCAACAAACAGGATACGTCAAGTCTGCATCATTATGGCCGGTTAAAAATGTTCCAAGTCTTGCGGCTGGCTTGCCACATTTCTCTGTGGATTGGGCACGCTGCTGGGGCCGTGATGTCTTCATCTCTCTCCGAGGGCTGTTCCTTTGCACTGGGTGGTTTGATGAAGCCAAGGAACATATCCTTGCATTTGCAAGCGTTCTGAAGCATGGCATGATCCCAAATCTTCTTAATAGCGGAAGGCTCCCGAGATACAACTCTCGGGACTCAGTGTGGTTCTTCCTTCAAGCGATCCAGGATTACACCAAGATGGTCCCCAATGGAATCCAAATATTGGACGAGAAGGTCCCAAGGAGGTTCTTGCCTTACGATGATATCTGGTTTCCCTTCGATGACCCCAGGGCATATTCAAAGTCATCGACGATAAGGGAGGTCATTCAAGAGATCTTCCAAAGACATGCTTCCGGACTCAGTTTCAGAGAGTATAATGCTGGACCCGCACTTGATGCGCAGATGAAGCCTGAGGGGTTTCAGATTGATGTCAAGGTGGACTGGGAGACTGGCTTCATATTCGGTGGTAATCAGTTCAACTGTGGGACCTGGATGGATAAGATGGGCGAAAGCGAAAAGGCTGGAAACAAGGGGTTTCCCGGAACACCCAGAGACGGCGCTGCGATCGAGATAACCGGTCTATTGTACAGCGCCCTGACCTGGGTCGCAGGACTGAATGCTTCCGGGATCTATGAGAACAAGGGGGTAGATATTGGCGACGGCACATCCATCACCTTTGCGGACTGGGCTTCCCGGATCAAACGCAACTTTGAGCGCTGCTATTATGTGCCTGTGAATGCAGATGAAGACGATCAATACGATGTTGATCCTTCTCTTGTCAATCGTCGTGGAATCTATAAGGATCTATATAAATCGGGAAAGGCATATGAAGACTATCAACTCCGCTCCAACTTCCCCATTGCGATGACGGTTGCCCCGGATCTCTTCACGCCTTCGAAAGCCCTTTACGCTCTTTCTCTTGCAGACTCCGTCCTCTTAGGCCCCACCGGTGTCGCAACGCTTGATCCATCGGACCTTAACTACCGACCGAACTACAACAATTCCGAGGACTCGACGGACTTCGCGACAGCGAAGGGACGAAATTATCACCAGGGACCCGAATGGCTCTGGCCGCGGGGGTTCTTCCTCCGTGCGCTGCTCCACTTTGATCTTCTGCGAAAGAAAACGCCAGAAGAGCGAACTGAGACATTTCAGCAGATCACAAGGAGACTTGAAGGTTGCAAGCGCTCTCTAAGAGACAGTCCCTGGAAAGGTTTGGCAGAATTGACAAACAAAAACGGTGCTTTCTGCGCGGATTCGGTATGTTCTGTCTTTTAATTTCCATTACTCTTTTTTTTCCCATCAAAGCATGAGGATATGTGTGCTAATGGTTTGTCTTCTTTGTATAGTCCCCAACCCAAGCATGGTCTGCTGGGTGTCTCCTGGACGTCTATTATGATGCCTCAAGGATATCGTTGGAGGGAAAGGCTGAGAGAGCACATGAAGAGGCTTGATTTTTAGAAAAATAGTATATGCGTCAATCTCACCGGGATATAGGTTTAAATTGATATCTCAAGTCCATGACTCTATACATGTATCTACTGGGCAGTACGTGTTCTTTCTCAAAAGCTGTTTGCAGTGTCAGGGTGCAGGCTTTTTCTTCAGTATGGGGAACTTACAGTCTGATAAAGTGTTACTAAGAGTTTATTTATAAGATCTCGTAAAGTTAATATCCAATTTCAGGATTATAAACCGACTGAAATAGAATGAGAGTCCAGTCGACTGGCCTAATGGCTATCCAGAAACGGTAATTTCGAATTATGCAGTGGGCTGATGACTAAGCAATGCACAACTCGCATAAGCTCCGCCGCTATCTCCGTTATTATTGTCCGGATGCGGGAGCGTCAAAACACCGCGGGCGCTTCCTGCGACTCCTCGGGCACAACACTACTGCTTCAAATCGCCTTGAAGGGGCCTGCCCAGCAACTTTATCATATAGTTTGACGATCTGTGCTATTTTTATTTCCCTCAGTACTTCTTTGTGTCTTCCTCGTTCGTCAAACTGTCACTTTGCGCGCCGCGAGAAGCTATTCCGGAACTTCCGTTCCCACATGCCTTCCTGAGAAAAGACGAAGCTTAGCAAGGGGCCCTGCAAGGGTCGCTGTTGGACAAGATGTCAGCTACAGCGATCGCCGCGACCGCAGTTTTTGATGTTGCTCCGGCCATGGCGACGCACGACGGACCGAACGAGCCTCGGTGGGAAGATCAAGCGAGGAGGGGACAACGTGATTTGTATACGCAGTTCGTTATTAGTGTTATACTGGGTCTGAGTGCATTTTTGGCATTCTGTGTATGTTTGCGGGTATTCTACTGAGAGAAAAAAACGGCCCTCCCAGCTAACGTTGGATAGACCCTCCGCCCGAAGTGGACAGAGCTCTATGCTGCAAGGAGAAAACGAAGAAATGCAGCATCTGCCTTGCCTGAGTTGCCTGACAGTTTCTTTGGATGGATTCCCGTGCTTTACAGGATCACAGACGAGGAGGTTCTGGCATCCGCTGGGCTGGATGCGTATGTGGTGAGTATCCGTGTCGTACGGCTTTAATGGCATTGTCTTCACTCGTGTTCGTGCTGACTGATTTGGTCGTAGTTTCTATCATTTTTCAAGTTCGCGCTCAAATTCCTCTCTGCGACTTTTGTCTTCGCAGTCGGCATTATCTTACCACTGCACTTGAGATACGCTGGGCAGTCAGGGATTCCTGGGTGGGACCAGGATGATGGAGATAATGATGATGATATGGAGCTTTATCGGCGGTCTTTTCTGTTCGGATCTGGGAATAAGGAGCTCAAATCGGACCCCAACTATTTGTGGATGTACGTGATATTCACATACGTCTTCACTGGTTTGGCAGTCTATCTCCTCATCCAGGAGACCAACAAGATTATCTTGACGAGACAGAAGTATCTGGGGAGTCAAACATCTACGACTGATCGAACCATCCGTTTGTCTGGCATTCCTCCAGAACTGAGATCGGAGGAGAAGATCAAAGGGTTCATCGAGGGTCTCCAGATTGGAAAGGTAGAGAGTATTACGCTTTGCCGCAACTGGCAGGAGTTGGACATGTTGATGGAAGAGCGGATGAAAATTCTCCGAAATCTTGAGCGGTCATGGACGAAGCATCTGGGGTATAAGAAACGGAAGCGAGATAGCAACACATTGCCTCTCATCAGATCCCGTCGACGGTCTACGAGTGTGACTTCTGATATTACGGAGCGATCTCATCTCCTAGAAAATGAAGACGGCAGGCCCCTGGTGTCTAACCAAGCTCGGGCACGCCCTCAGACTCGCATCTGGTATGGCCCGTTTAAGCTCTGGTTTCGAAACGTCGACGCCATCGACTATTACACGGAGAAGCTGCGCAGGCTGGACGAGAAGATCATGGCTGCGCGACAGAAGGAGTACCCGCCAACCGCTCTTGCTTTTGTGACCATGGAGTCTATTTCTGCCTCTCAGATGGTCGTGCAGGCGATCCTCGACCCCCACCCCATGCAGCTGGTGGCTACCCTTGCCCCGGCTCCTGCCGACGTGGTATGGAAGAACACTTATGTGTCACGCTCTCGACGCATGATGCAGTCTTGGTTCATCACTGCCGTTATCGGGTTCCTCACGATCTTCTGGTCGGTGCTCCTGATTCCTCTTGCTTACCTGTTGGAGTTGGAGACGCTTCACTAAGGTGGTGCCTTCTCTGGCAGATGCGTTGTCAAGACATCCTCTTGCCAAATCACTGGTGCAGACCGGTCTTCCGACTTTGGTTCTATCGTTGATGACCGTGGCGGTACCATATATCTATAGCTGTATGCATATCCTTTTCATTTATCATTACCGATGGAGCAAACTAATTTTGATGGACTAGGGCTTTCTGGTCTTCAAGGAATGACGTCTCGAGGTGACGTGGAGCTATCTATAATCTCAAAGAACTTTTTCTTTACATTCTTCAACCTGTTCCTGGTGTTCACGGTGTTCGGTTCGGCGACGACGTTTTACGGCTTCTGGGAGAATCTTCGAGACAAGTTCAAGGACGCCACCACCATCGCCTTCGCCCTGGCCACGTCGTTGGAAAAGTTCTCGCAGTTCTACATCAACTGGATTATTCTTCATGGCTTGGGGCTGTTTCCTTTCCGGTTGTTGGAGTTTGGGAGCGTCGCGATGTATCCGATCCATTTCCTGTCGGCAAAGACACCTCGCGAATACGCCGAACTGTCGACGCCTCCTACGTTCAGCTACGGCTTCTCCATACCGCAGACGATCCTGATATTTATTATCTGCGTCGTATATAGTGTCTTTCCCAGCTCGTGGCTGATTTGCCTCTGTGGACTGGTCTACTTCTTCCTCGGGCAGTTTATCTACAAATATCAGCTGCTGTATGCTATGGACCACCAGCAGCACTCGACCGGTCGGGCATGGCCGATGATCTGCAGTCGTGTTTTCGTTGGTCTTGTGGTCTTCCAGCTGGCCATGATCGGTGTTTTGGCTCTGCGTCGGGCGATCACGCGGTCTCTGTTGCTGGTGCCGCTCCTCGGCGCCACGGTCTGGTTCACCTACTTCTTCGCGCGGACGTACGAGCCGCTGACGAAGTTTATTGCGTTGCGCAGCATCGACAAAGACCGACCAGACGAGTCGGAGGCATCTCTCAGCCCGCCGGCGGTGCTGTCGCCTCCGTCCGGTCTGGACCGGGACTCGCTTCCCTTGCGCATCGGCGGGCGAGACATTGGCCTCAGGCTGAAGAAATACGTGAATCCGAGTCTGATTATGCCTCTGGATGGGCCGTGGATTCCGGGTCGTGATCGTCCGGTCATGATCAGTCCTGATCAGTTCGAAGAAGGACAGATTGATGGGGCTGTGTAGGTGGCACCCCTCCTCGAACTACACCTCTCTCTCTCTTATGATATCGACATGATATCCACGTCATAATTATGATTTTTTTTTCCACTGGTTGCTTTTAATGTGGAGGCTCTTGTCGTATATATACGCGTTGCTTGACGTTGCTTGACGTTGCTTGACGGTGATTGACGTTGCTTGACGAATGATTTGTACATACATCCATACCCCATACCGACTCAGCACCTGTGATACCAGTTTCCCAGCTAATACAGTATATACCCTTGCTTGCTCTTACGAAGTGCAGTACTGTCTTCCACACTCTGTTCTCACATGCCTTTTTTTTTAATCTTTGTTTGGCTATAATAATCTCTTACGCAAGATACAATGCAATGCAATACAATACACCATACCTCCTTCCACCATTATTATAATGATCTGTCTTCCGTTCAAGCTTGTCTTGCCATGAGACTGAGCGGGACGCTGGCGCTAAGAATGCGGTGGCCAAAAATATGATCAACCTTATGTGTTCGTCCTCTAATAATAATAAGAAGAAAAGAGAACGAGAAACGCCTCGCCCAGGCGAGACTAATTGAAGTTCAATATTCATTGGTAAGGGAATGAGGGAAGAAGAGGAGATTCATAGGCATGGTGTTCAGCATATTGTGTAGAAGCAGGCCTTTCCTAATTGGGCGATTGTCGGGGAAACTCTAGAAGATATTCGTAAAATCTTTACTTGCACCAGGGGGGAGTCAGATAATTAATCAGATGTTCATCTCGACTGGAGAATTAATCGAAAGACAGGTATTTTTCTTTCTAGGATCCCATGCGCTCTTTTTTTTGTTTAGAATACAAAGAACTGGAAACATGATGATTCTTGAAACCATGCAGATCCATCTATGGTCTTCCCCCCCTTTAATCTCAGTTTGCATACTAGCTAGTTAGCTTAGGCAGTGTGTTGATAGTGATGATCTATCTGGTCCTGGTTCTGGCTGGATAGTCATTAGTACACTTCGCTGAAGTTCACTGCTAAAGTTCATATGATGTGAAAATCTTTCCAGACACATAAATGAAATGAGGCTGTTGCTGTTTAAAATACGGTCCCCTTAAGCTGCTTCGTCTCCTTCAGGCGGATATCTCTCCACATGAGAATCGCAACGACAGCCAAAGGCAGGATCGAGACGCCAGTAATCAGCATCCGTCGCTGCGCAACCGCATACGACTTGATGATGGCGTCTCTCACCGCACTCCCTACCGGGTACGACAGCGCCACGGCCAGCGATCCGTAGATGGCAGCCGCCTTGTCCTTGCTCCCCTCGGGCAGGTTCTTGCGCAGCTCTCCGGGCAGCGTGTTGGACCAGATGGCCCCGGAGACGGAGGAGCCGATGCTCATGCCGATCCTGGAGAAGAGGCCCACCAGCGCGTACGCCACGGCAATGTTCTCGTGCTTGCCTGACGCCATGGCGGCCATCTCGGAGCAGATGACGAGTGCGCCCCCGGCAAAGGCCTTGAAGATCTCGCACATGACGACGTAGCCGATCCCGCTGCTCGGATAGCGGAAGTAGATCATCAGGCCGGCTCCCAGGAACATGATGGGCATGGCGGCCAGGGCGAACCATTTGAATCTGCCGGCCTTGCGAATCATTCTGTTCTCCGTTAATCAAATAACTCCTAGAACAAGTGGTACATATACCTACATTCCAAGTGGAACGGACCAGAAGCAAGAGCCAATGGTGTATATGTTCACCATGTAGCCGGCGTTTCTGATGGTCTGGTCAAATACGACTTGCAGGTAGCTTGAGAAATACAAGTCCCACGAACTGAAGTCAGTGAGGATAATGCAGTAAATGTCGGTCTTGGGACTTACTAGAAGCTGATAAAAAGGACAAAGCCGAGAAACACGACCCCAGCAGCGTCCGATCGGCCAGCAGCCGGAATGGGATGAATGTGACCTGCGCCCCGTACCGCTCCCAGATGGCAAAGGTAATAAAACAGATGCCGCCAATGACGATCATGGCGATGATATCCGCCGATCGCCACTTGCTGGCCTGGGACGAAGCCAATGTCAACGGGAGCAGGACGAGGTTGAATGCGGCGGTTATAAGAACCAAACCGATCCCTTAAAACGAGTCAGCTTTGACGACATCTGGGGGCAGGACTTCTGGGGGGCGAGATGGACTAACCGTCAAATTGAACGAAATAATACTTGATAGACTCAAACCAAGTGCGTCCATTCTGGCGTTTCTGGACCAGGCCCATCTCGTACGCCTTCCGCCGAGTTTGCCAGAAGAGCACCACAATCGGAGCTGATATCACGGGGGTGATGATGGCAAAGGTGCCAAATCCCCACCACAGCGCGCCATCCTTGTAAAAACGCTGAGCAGCTGCGGGCCCAGCGAAGGTTGTCGCAATGTACGGAGTGGACGCGATGCCCCAGACAAAGGCTCGATTCACGAGATCGGTGGTGTCGGACAGGAAGACATGGAGGACATATTCCCTGCCGTTGTAACCTAGCCAGTAGATAACCTGTAATGCGTCAGTGTGATAGACCTCTTCCTGACTGGTTACACAATGTAACGCGTACCTGAGCTGCCGCGTACGTCTCTATGTTCCGACACGAGGCCATGAGAATAAGACCTAGAAAAAAAATCAGTTGACAGCGCCTATCTTCCACTAGGAAACAGATATACCCAGAGTGCACAAAAGAGTCATTAGCACAAAACCCTCAGGGCGCCCCCAGACGTCGATAATCCTAGCAATTGGGAGTTTTGCAACGCCACCGATGATGCTGGTGAGAACTGAGGTAGTCGAGAGCAAGGCATGGTCCTTGAAGGCAGAAGTAACATAGGGCGAAAGGCTGCCGGTGGTCTCCTGCTGGAAGGAATCGATGAAAAAGATCAAGAAAACACTACGACAGTTAGACAGAATGAATGTGACAAAGCTGGTTGTGTGTAGTTCACGTACGAGACATAGGCTGCGATAAGCGACTTCTTGGTCCACGCGCTCATGAGGGCTTCAGCATCGCTGACCCCGCCTTGGATGATGGCATTGGCTTCGTCCACGCTTTCAAGCTGTGGGGAGCCAGCTTCTTTCACGTCTGGAGCAGACATGGTGAGCGGAGAACTTGGTTATCTGATGGTAGACAGATGGATGTGTAAAGAGAGAAATGAGAAGAAAACGAGGGAAGAGTTCTGTATGACCCTGGTGATAAGATCAGACGGAAGTTCTCTTTCCCGGTGGGACAGAGTCTTCACTACCTTGTAAGCCGATAGAGAACCCTGTCCAACAGAGTGTCCAGGGCAAGATTGGATCGCACATCTAGTTTCATTCGCATTCACTACAAATACTAAATGCATACTAATGCTTTAGGGCACTTTTGAGGCTAATCTCCATTTCTCAGGGTACAGAATCCCTCACCACTGGCTCAGAGGGCTCCTCTGTTGTGTCTACCTTTGGATCGGCATCTTTTGTCACAAAATACTCCACAGTCGTTGCTCTGCAAACACCTGTCTGATGTTCTTCTTCGTGGCTGCGATAAGTTGGGATGAAAGCCAATTCGGCGCCAGCGTTGGATCGGCGTCTTGGCAGAATGTTTGGCCGAATGAGTGGAGCAGAGATTTTAGCGTATGCAAAATTTGGTGCAGTTTTGGCACCCCAAAACCTCAAAAAATTGCAACTTTTGTATCGGAAGCCCTCCAAACCACCAAAATACTGATTTTTCTCACCAAATCCCATCGATTTTTTACTGAATTTGTCATATCTGAGGTTTTTCTGACTTTCTAATTAGGAAATTATAGCCTATATTCAAACCGATATCGAGATGTCTGCGAATCGCGCTCCTGCCGCCATACCCTACGACCTTCGCAAGAAGCACATTCCTCGCATCCCATCCCCAGCCCCGAACCAGGATCCCGCTGGCAATTATACTCCGATGGCCGCTGCAAGGAAGATA